TAAATATAATTCCAGAGAGAAAGATAAGTGAAGACCCTGTGTGTGTCTCAGCCACTCCCCGCCCCCAACGTGACTGTAGCTGGACACGGGGCCTTAAGGAGGTAATTAAGGTGAAATGAGGTCCTAAGCGTGGGGGCCCTGATCCGACAGGACCAGTCTCCTCAGAGAAAGAGACCTCTGTGTGCGAGCACACGGAAAGCAGGCCACGTGAAGGCACGGCCAGAAGGGAGACCAAGCTATGAGGTAGGAAGGGAAGTCTCACCAAAACCAACCCCGTGGGCACCTTGATCTTGAACTCTCCGGCTTCAGGGCTGTGAGAAAATCAGCGTCTGTTTAAGCCCCCAGCGTGCTGTCTCATCACGGCGGCCAAGGGGATTAGCACAGGCCCGAAAACCCAGACTGAGATCACAACGCTGAGTAATTATTACACAGCAAATAAATCTATTTCCACATAAACATTTGTTTTGCCCAACTGAAAGCAGTATGGCAATATTCAAATAGGAACACACACACACACTCAGGTAAATTTTACAAAAGAAGTCAGGACTCCTCGAATACCAAAACACACAAGAATTCTACGTCACTTTTCACACAAACACAGTAATCCCGGATTATACCCATTCTGTCATGCAAACTCATCATACGTCAACAAGTGGCGATCTGCCCAGCGACAAGATATAATAACACGTCTGTGTTAACACATTTAAAATGAATGAAGCAGGGCATCACACATTCCAAGAGGCAAAACTGCTGGAAAACGGCACGCCGGGGTCTTCGGAAAGTGGATCACCGCTCCATCAGTTGGACTTCTCCTGCAGAGTCCGGGGCAGGACCTCCCACGTAAGCAAGAACACTCCAGCTTCTCGCTCGTCTGCCCTCCCCCCGTACTCGCTGCCCCTTCGAGAGGACGGCTCTCACGGTTCCCCTTCCCCGCCTCTCACCCATTCCTTCCCACGGAAACGCAGCCCTTCCTCACCTCCACCTGCTGAGATTCTTCCCAGCCCAGCCCGAGTGTTTCCCCCTCCACACAGCCCAGCTGAGCCCACATCTGCAGGTAATCTAACCTAAAGCATACTCTGCTTATCCCTACCTTATTCTAGCTTGACGTAACTGCGTAGAAATCGGATTTCAACATCGCTGAGGTAGGCAGCCTCTAAACTGGTCCCCCACTGCCCCCATGTGTTCACACTCCCATGTACTCTGCCCTTGAGCGTGGCTGGACCTAGTGATGTGCTTCTAACACATAAAATATGGCGAAAAGACGAGACGTCACTTCCAGAATTAGGCTACAGGAAGACCGTGACTTCTGTCTTGCTCACCCTACTCTATGCTCTCTCACCGTTCCACTAAGTCCTCCACGGTCCCTCCCCACCCCTCTCTGCTCTGGTGATCGAGGGGAGTGAGTGGTCATGTCCTGAAGAGCTCAGTGGAGAGACCCAAGTGGCAAGAAACGGCCAGGGAGGACCTGAGGCCTGTCGACAGCCATGGGAGAGGGCGTTTACCAGATCCTCCCTGGGGGGGGCCTGAAATGACTGCAGCCAGTGACAGTCCCGGAGCAAGAAGCCGCCAGCTAAACCACACCGGGACTCCTGGCCCACATCAACTGGGAGATAACACATGTTTACTGTTTGAGGCCACGGCGAGGGCTTGGGATAATTTGTTACACATCAACAGATGATGAATACAACTCTGTTTCATTTCTGCTATTTAATTATAACCTCCTGGAAAACATCAGAGTTAGTTCCACCACCTTAGTGGAACGTTTTACATATTCAAAATTTAATAAAGATTTGTTAATATTTAAAGGTAGAATACTGTACTGTTTTAAAAACAAAATCAGCAGACTCTGAGCATCTAATGCACTCCAGGAAACTTCTCTCAAGGCCAACTCTGTTCAACTCATAAAAAACACAAGTGTTTCAAGATGAAATCGATCACACAGTAACAACGAAATGTGTCAAATTTTACAATACACGTGAAAAGCAGCAAGAAAAAAAATTCCCCACATGTCTATTATTTCCCTTTCACCTTATCTAATCCAAAACTATAACTCTGGAACAGAATTAACATGGCTACACGAGACGACACATAAGAGTAGTTGAAAATTTATATAGTGTAAGGTCTATATTCAAGTTTATCAAGAATCCCCCCTCCCCACCCCACACATAAAAAGAATCCCACAACTGACTCATCTATAAGCTATTTTAAGTTTCAGAGTAAAATATACATTTTGTTGAAGTCACAACTCAGCCCTCTAGAATCTTTAGAGAAGGAATAATCTTAGAGACAGAATTTTCTGCAACTCTATACATTTACCCCACAAAAGTTCCAAATTTTAGTTAATTTTAGATCACTGTTTCCTTTCTAAAATATGAAAATTAGAGAGCAGCTCAATAGGGACACCTGGGTGGTTCAGTCGGTTGTTTGTCCGACTTCAGCTCAGGTCATGATCTGGTGGTTCGTGGGTTCGAGCCCCGCATCAGGCTCTGTGCTGACCTCTCAGCCTGCTTTGGATTCTGGGTCTTCCTCTCTCTGCCCCTCCACCACTCATGCTCGCTCACGCTCTCTTTCTCAAAAATAAACAAACATTAAAAAAACCCCAGCTCAATACACAAAATCAGACATCTTTACAACAGCACTTTTCTGAGACTAATACATAAATGTGAACTGTACCTCCCCAAGGGAAGGATAGAAAATGCAACATTCTCTAACACTTTTGGACATAAAACCCTTTTTTAAAAAAGCCATGTACCTATGACTTCTGTTGTAAGATATGCTTTTATTATTTTTTTGATTTTTAACTTTTAGTTCTCCCTTGAGATAGGTTATTTTTAGGCTTTTATTTTAATTTCCGTAGGTTAACACGCAGTGTTATATTAGTTTCAGGTGTATATTATAGTGATTCTACATTTCCACACCTCACCTGGTGCTCATTATGACAAGCGTACTCCATTATCTCCATCATCTCTTTAACCCACCCCCCCTGCCCACCTCCCTCTGTACCATCAATTTGTTCTCTATAGCTAAGAGTCTGTTTCTTGGTTTGTCTCTCTTTTTCCCCCACCATGTTCATTTGTTTTGTTTCTTAAATTCCACATATAAGTGAAACCACATGATGCAGGTCTTTCTCTGACTGACTGATTTTGCTTAGCATTATACTCTCTGGCTCTACCCATATCGTTGAAAAAGGCAAGATTTCATTCTTTTTGATGGCTGAGTGTGTATTTATTTATGTATTTATATGCACACATATACCACATCTTTATCCAATCATCAGTCAATGGACATTTGGGCTCTTTCCATACTTTGGCTGTTGTTGATAGTGCTGCTATGAACATTGGGGTGCATGTGTCCCTCTGAGTCAGTATTTTTGTATCCTTTGGGTAAATACCTAGTAGTGCAATGGCTGGACCACAGGGTAGTTCTAGTTCTATTTTTAACTTTTTGAGGAACCTCCACACTGTTCTCCAGAGCGGCTGCACCAACCTGCATTCCCACCAGCAGTGCACGAGGGTTCCTCCTTCTCCACATCCTCACCAAAGACATCCTGCTGTTTCCTGTGTTGTTGATTTTAGCCATTCTGACAGTTGTGAGGTGATGTTTCCTTGTGGTTTTGGTTTGTGTTTCCCTGACGAGTGATGCTGAGCATCACTGGCCTTTGGGCTGGTTGGGGGAGGTTGTCTACTGGGCAACCAAACCTCTAGGTCTAAAGTCAGAGATATGGATGGGAGAAAGGTTTTTGTGAGTCATCAGCAACCAAATCAATGGAGGCCAACGCTAGGGATGTGGATGAAGCCCACAGGGAAACACGAAAATGCAATGAATGGGAGACCAGCCAACAACAGACACAACATATGAAACGGGAGAGAGTGAAGCAGAAGAGAAGGCTGGAAAGGAGACTGAGCAGGAATCACCCGACAGGGAGAAGGAAACGGAGACAAGCCCTACAGAAGTCTAGGGAAAGAATTTCAATAAGGACAAGTATCAAGAATTCTGTTTCAGATCACAATGAATTAATTAAAATTAACAAAGTTAGTTGGAATGAGCACTGGGTGTTGTATGGAAACCAATTTGACAATAAATTTCATATTAAAAAAAAATCTAACAAAATTAAAACTTCATTTCCCCGATACACCACCTCATGTGGGCAGGAGCTACCACGCTGGGGAGAGCAGACAGAGAAAACACTACCATTGCTGCAGCCAATCCTTCCAGACAGCACTGCACAGACCCTGGCAGAACGCCATCAACAAGACATCTGCTCAGTGAGTGTCTGGTGATCCATGTACGGAGATCGTATACTAACTCAATCTTCAAGGACAACTTTGAAAACACGGCATGGCCACTGTTTTCTGTTGACATCCCAGTTTGGTTACAGTGAACAGCTTATAGGTGTATTAGTTGTCTGACATTCTAAAATAAGGACACTGGAAACATTCCTGTCTTGGGGGACATTAATAATTTCCAAGTACTTTGTGTAACATGCTCCAACAGGAACTTCACATATCTTCTAGCTTCATTCTTACACCCAGTTAGGTATACCTATGAGGTACGTGTTTCTTAAGAGACGAGAAAACAAGGTCTGTAACATGAGGCAACTTGCAGCCACATAGCTAGCAGACGTCAGAGTCTGGATTCCAACCCAGGTCTGTGAGCCCACAGAACACAAATCCTTTCCACCACACAGAAGCCACAACGAAGAAAAAGCCTCCATCTGCACAGTCAGGTACCTAGACAGATTTTAAATAAACCCATGGCGCTGAAATACGTATTTAGCAAGCACTTGAATTTAATCTTTCAGACATATATAATAACATGCATATGAATTAATTGAGAAACTTCATTTCCTAAGAGGTAATTAAAATATGCACTCACCAAAGAAATGAATCAGTGAATTCATTTCCATTGTTGTAAAACATAAATAAATATCTTCTCCAGGAAGAAAAACTGCAAAGGTATTTAAAAATTGTTTTTTCAAATACTGTCAAAGTTTTACTTACCTTCTTTAGCAGCAAATGTTTGACTAGCTGAAATAACTTTTGTTAGTTCTGGATTATACCTTGTTCCTTCTGGAAAAATCACAAGATACATCTGTGAAGCAGAAAGAAATATGGTTTGTTTCGTGTGAGCTTTTTTTGTGGTTCTTGTTAACTTCATGCCAATGTGAAGGGAGTAGATTCTATGGTGGGAAAAATGTATATTCATTTTACACATGATTCATTTCTAGCAGAGCAACCGAAATGCAAAAAAAAAAAAAAAAAAAAAAAAAAAAAAAAAAAATGCACTTAAGTCTTAAAACGGATTATATTTAAAATGCAGTCCTACATACACTGGTAGGTCAATCATTAAGAATCTAACAATGTTTCTAATTACACACTAATATTCCTTAATTAAAAATTTGCCCATGAAATGCTGACTCATAAAGAGCTTTTTTGCCCTAAGATTCTGAAAAACGACTTTTTTAAAAGTTGCAAATGTCACACATCAGTGTCCCTAAGTATCGATGAGAAAAGCACATCTCATTTGAGGCAATATCTAAATTTCCACAGTATAAAATATACTTAAGTATTCATATTGTAAAAGATTCCCACAGTGTTCTTATTTTACGGAGCTCCCTTACTGCATTTTAAATAATTCAATTTATTAGCAGTTTCATAAACTGAAATAATGCATGTATAAGTAAAAAAGGAAGGTGAATGTTTACTAAGTAATCAATTCATCTGAGCTTTTACTTCTATCTGCTTGGAAAAATACAGACAGAAACCATAAAAATATACAATGAGAAACTCCTAACTTGATTTTTTCTTTCTTTTCAAAATTAAAAAAAAAAAATCTAATTAGTTAACATACAATACAATATTGGGAGAAACTCCTAACTTTAGAACTGAGTTACCAAAACTACACCAACATGGTTAAGTGACAGCCAAAAGACAAAAGTAAGGCATTCATATCAAATCTTTTCCAGTACAGGGGCGCCTGGGTGGCGCAGTCGGTTAAGCGTCCGGCTTCGTTGGTCACCATCTCATGTCCGTGAGTTCAGCCCGCGTCAGGCTCTGGGCTGATGGTCGAGCCTGGAGCCTGTTTCCGATTCTGTGTCTCCCTCTCTCTCTGCCCCTCCCCCATTCATGCTCTGTCTCTCTCTGTCCCAAAAATAAATAAAAACGTTGAAAAAAAATTAAAAAAAAAAAAATCTTTTCCAGTACAAACAGAATACAGGAAACAAAAGGATAGTGGGAGAGAAGGAAAGAACATTCTGTTCATTTAATCCACCCTCATCAGATCGTAGGTAATGCTGTCTGTCTAGATGTCTAGTACAGAAGCATTCCCTTATCTGAATGATTTCTGATTGTAAAACTCCTACCTAATGAACCTTTGTGACAGTCCAAATTTTTTCATTAGACAAGCTTATGATTACTCTCTTTCAATCTTCTAGGTGAAAAACTTGAATTAATGGTGGCTCTACAATTCTGCATTTTCAGCTTCCCTGAAAATAGATTAACTTTTCATTTATCTACATAAATTGTCTTTGGAGCCCACTATTTTTGCCAAACATAGAAATTAATAGATTTCTATGTACCTTAATACTGGATAATAAAGATTAACCAGAGCTACCAAGAAAATGTAGAAAAATGGGTAAAATTAAGAAAAAAAGTTAAGAATTCCTTATTATATTCCAGTAAGTAGAAGGAAAAACAGGAAAAAAATTAAAATTAGTTCCAAAAACCACAAATTCACTATCAGGAGAATACATTTTAAATAAGTGAAGTTTGTATTCAACACCATGAAAGCAATTACTGATGGATTTTAGCTTTCAGTTCAAGCATTCAAAAATAAAATGATTCAGGGCACCTGGGTGGCTCAGTTGGTAAAGCATCCGACTTCCGCTCAGGTCATAATCTTGCGGTTTGTGAGTTCGAGCCCCGTGTTGGGGCTCAGAGCCTGGAGCCTGCTTCAGATTCTGTGTCTCCCCCTCACACGTTGACCATAAAGAGCTTTTGCCCTGATTCTGAAAACGACTTTTTAAAAGTTGTACAAGGCACATCAGTGTCCCTGGGCATCGATAAGAAAAGCACATCTCATTTGATAATATCTAAATGCATAAAATATACTACCTATATTTATTGTAAAGATTCTGAAGAAAATTCTTGAGCTTTACTTGAGCTCCTTTACTGTGTTTTGGAACAAATAATTATTATAGCAGTTTCATAAACTAGCCACAATGTATGTATAAGTAAAAGGAAGGTGAATTCGCTTAATAAGTAATCACACTAATGAGCTTTTTACTTTCATCTGTTTGGAAAAAATACAGACAGACCAAAATATATACGAGAAATTTAACTGATTTTTTTCTTTCTTTTCAAAATTAAAAAAAAAAAAAATCTGAATTAGTTAACATAATAATAATAATATTGGGAGAAACTCAACTTTAGAACTGATGGCTAAGGGACAAGTTTCAAAAGACAAAAAAAGGAACATATCAAATCTTTTCCAGGCCAGGGGCGCCGCAGTGGCGAGAGTCGTTGCCGTCCGGGCCGTTAGGTCACCATCTCATGTAACTGCGGAGTTCGAGTTCCCGCGTCAGGCTCTGGGCTGATGGCTCGGAGCCTCTGGAGCTTCCGATTCTAGCTCTTTCTCTCTGCCCCTCCCCCATTCATGCTCTGGCTCCCTCTCTCTGTCCTAAAAATAAATAAAACGTTGAAAAATTAAAAAAAAAAATCTTTTCCAGTACAATAAACAGAATAAGGAACAAAAGGATAGTGGGAGAGAAGGAAAGAACATTTGTTCATTTAATCCACCTCATTTAGACTGTAGGTAATGCTGTCTGTCTAGATGTCTAGTACAGAAGTATCTGAATGATTTCTGATTGTAAACTCCAATGTCTTTGTGACAGTTCAAATTTTTTCATTGGGGACAAGTTTATGATTACTCTCTTTCACCTTCTAGGTGAAAAACTTGAATTAATGGTGGTTTCATACTCAGGCATTTTCAGCTCTGAAAATAGATTAATCTTTTCATTTATCTACACAAATTGTCTGGAGTTCACTAGCTTGCCAACATAGAAATTACTTCTATGTACCCAATATTGGATACTGTAATCCAGAGCTACAAGAAAATGTAGAAAATGGAAGATTAAGAAAAAAAGTTAAGAATTCCTTACATATTATATATAGAAGGAAAAACAGAAAAAAAATTAAAATTAGTTCCAAAAAACCAATAAAATTAATTATCAGGAGAATACATTTTAAATAAGTTTTGAAGTTTGTATTCAACACCATGAAAGCAATTACTGATGGATTTCTCAGTTCAAGCATTCAAAAATAAAAATGATCCAGGGCACCTGGGTGGCTCTCAGTTGGTAAAGCATCCACTCTCCTACCAGGTCATAATCTTATGGAGCTTTTGTGAGTTCGGCCTGCAGCCAGGCCTGTAGAGCCTGCCTGCTTCAGATTCTGTGTCTCCCCCTCTCTCTCCCCCTCCCATGCTGCCTTATTCTCTGTTTCAATAATAAATAATAAAT